GAACAGCAAGATTGAACGCAAGCGGGAGTAGACCTGCCAGTGTAACCCGAGACGAGGCGACAGCACTCGTCGCCAAATAGACAGTCCCGGAACAACCCCGAAGGGAAGGATAAGACAACCCTATCAGAGACCGCAGTACAGTACACCTATTCAGTGATAGGAAAACCGGAAGGACCGCCAGGAACTACCCACTGCCACCGAGATGAAGCACGCAGGCGGAGACCAACAACGAAGCCACCAGCGCCCACACAAGGGATGAGAACTCGAGACAAAAAACCCTGAGACACGAAGACTTGAGGGGAAAAATGAACCAGCCGAGTACAGGGCTGGACCAAACCGCAAGAGAGGTGGAGCCGCGGGAAAACCCGTAGGACCGGACACCAAGCAAAGAAGCGCCCACAACTAAGGGCGGCAAAGAACCAGGGAACAGGAAGAGGCCAACAAGGAAACGAGGACCACAAACCGAAACGCAAAGCAAAAACAGCAACCCTGCAACCTGCAGGAGCAGCGCAAGCATCCCCAGCAGGGAAGAAGGACTCACGTGTCACAGAAGTATATATGAGAACTACGCAGGACGTGAACCGCACAAAAACAAAAAGAACATCCCGGAAAGGAACAGAAAACAGGAGCCAGAACCATAAACCTAGCTCCACCCATCCCAACGAAAAGGAATCTTAGGGGGCAGGAGTGGGCGAATGGAAGCAACACCCATCCCCGCAGGCAGTGCAAGCACCTTGTATGCCACATACAAAAGACCAAACCCGGAGTATGTAGTCCCAGCATGGAGCCCGTACCCCATTTGGAAAAATGCAGAGGCAAGCCCTGAGGCAAGCCCCAGAGCTAAGAGGCACAAGTGACGAGGACAGGCTGTGGAAATGCAACACACAACACGAAGACAGAAGAGGAAGGGGAGACAAGAACACATCTAACAAAATTCTCAGAGGAATGAAAGGGTAGAGAATGATAAACTGGTGAACCCGGGCAGTACACAAAGAAGGGAACACAGGTGGAAACTGAGTACCCAAGGAGCCACAGGGATTAGAGCGCAGAAAGAATACCGAGAAAAGATACAGGCGCCGAAAGACTAAACAAAAGGCACTGAAGACCAAGGCTGCATCCCACAGTACACTTACAAAGGAAGGCCATGGCAAGACTCACGCAAAGTGGCCAAGCAAAACACACAACACCTACACCCCACCAGAATCGAGAACCAGCACCTGGCCGACAGCGTCGCCAGACTGCACAATCTCACCTGCAGAGTGAAGACACGACCGTGGCACAACACAGTCGAGCCAAATAAGAACCAGGAGCATCGCCAGGGAGAGTACGTCCAGAGATGCGTACACAGCAGAAGCCAAGGTGCAGGACAGAGACGGAGGTGGCGCCACCTGGAGCCACCCCACACCCGTAATCAGGGAAAAGAATCAAAGTGAATTTCCCACATAGAAATCCAGAACACACCCAGCATCAAGGGGCAAGGACTGGAGAAAAATGATGAACGAAAAGGCTTAGAAAATAGTGAGACAGGATGTGGAACACCAAAACATGTACACCGCCCAAAAACAATACAATCACCCCGGACCCTGCGTCCGAGGTACGAACTGCACCACCTGCCATCCGGTGGCCCGGTACGTACACCAGTCGTACGGACACATATCATACACACATCAGCAAGAGGATGTAACAAATAAGAGGAATGTCGAGACAGGAAGGAGAGACGAAGGAATACAAAAGAAGGGGAAAGAGAATAGAAAGAAAACAATGAGAACGGAAGAGGACCAACGAAACCGAGAAGGGAATAGAGGGAACCACACCGGAAGTGAGCAGATGTCCCAATTAGATCGGAAGAATCGAAGAGTGTCGTAAACGCTCGAGAATCTTACGGAGGCATACACGGACCCCAAGGCACCCATGACCAAGGGACACACTGGGAACCCGGTACGAAGGGAACATTATCACACAAAGGTAGGGAAAGAGGTGAAAGAACCCCCAGGAATGACAGAACCGATGGACCCGATGGACACGGAACCGAACCCGGGGAGGGATAGATCCAAAACCAACAGGAATGCAGAAGGGGAAGGAATAAACCCCCTTCAGAGGAACTGCCAGCCCCGCTCCTATGGGACAAAAACCCCAAGTGGGGCCAAACGGGGCTAAGGCCCCCCAGGCAACCCCAGGAACCATCACGGCATGACCCGGGGCCGAGCCGTCCCCCACAAGCCCCGGCCTCACAAGAAAAATCCGGGACAGCCGTAAAACTCTAAGGAAGCGAGTTCACTGGTCAGACACTTACGTATGGTTGGAGGAACAGGCTCGAAAGCCTCTGCTGCCACCCCGGAACAAGACCCCCCACCCCCAAAACTGCCCGAGTCTCAAACACCAACGAAACCCCGCCCCGATCTCGAAAACTCAGACGTGTCGGAGCCGAAAGCAAGGAGGAGGACCCAATTGCACAACCGAAGGAAAGGGCCAAAAAGGCCAGACGAAACCAGAGCTGAAGCGACCCCCCACCCCCAAGTCCAGGTCCCTATCACCAAAACGGGGCAGTCTCGGGGCATCTGGGGCTACAATCAACCAAGCGCGTTGTAGCAACCTAAACCCACAGCCTGCAACGTGGCTGCTGTCTGTACCCACACAACAGAATGAGTGGCGCGGGAAAACTGGAGTACGAACAATCAACGCCACACGACTCCGGGTCAAGGAACCACCGACCCAACAGGCAGCATGGCGGAGGCAAAACCGGTGAGTGTCACTGTGAGACAAGGGAACAGAGCAACCAGCAAACTCACAGGAAATGAGATGGGGAATCAAGGTCACCTCCATCAGCCCACAGATTCCCCGTGGGGATTTCCAGGGCCCTTAGCCTTGTGTACACGGCAAGGGAAGCCCAGGCAGGATACTGCGAACCGGCACTCAAGTCTACCGAACAAACTTCTAAAAGCTGAACCCCCGGGATGTGCACACTCATGGGGGCCAAGCGGGAGACTCCACCAAGCGAAGAGAAGAACATGGAGACCCCTCCCACCAGGCAGAAAACAAAAACAAAAGAAAAACCCCGCAAGAGGACAACGTACCCAGGTGGAACAGAGCCAGCCACTGTAATTGTAGAAGACTACCTGTGCAGTACCCCACGCCCCTACCAGTGACGAAAACAGCCTCCTACCCAGACACAAACTAGGGCAGCTGACCCCAAACCCCAGCTGACCCCAAGGGCAGCCCAGTACCGAGCAGTAAAAGACACAGCGGAGGTATATCCCAAGGTGACTTGTGGAAGGAGACCCCAAGCCCCAAGGGTAGTACTCACAGGGCACCTAGGGAAGGAAACCTAGGCGCATGCAGCCCGAGTAACGTGGAATATCACTCCTGACTCACACACCACCTGTAGAGACAGCCCACATCACAAGGCACAGAATTGAAACAAAAGTGGAGCCAAAAACACCCGACTGGCCAGTAAACCCATCAGCCAAGAACTGCCAGTTGGATAGCCGGTGCAGAGGGTCCAGTACTCCCCCCTTCCACCTCCCGGAGAAGGGGGAGTCCCTTATTTTTCTTCTGAGCTTGAATCTATGTCCTCTTCTTTTGATATTGCAGTTTTCAAAAATTCCTCCTTGTCAGTTGCCAGTTCCTTTGCATGTCCATCTCAGCCCTCATGGCAATAGGGAAGCAAGGAATTCTTAAATACACACCAACATTCCTGATTTTCATTCTGCTTCTCTTTTTGCTCAAAGAGTGCATAAAGGATCTCTTGGATAAAATCCTTAAAACTCGGAAAAATACAGTACAGTGGTACCTCAGCTTATGAATTTAATCCGTTCTCAGAGATAGCTCGTAACCCGAAAATTCGTAACCCAAAGCGAATTTCCCTATAAGAAATAATGGAAAATGAATTCATCCATTCCAGACTCCCCAAAATATTAACTTCAAAGTAAATTTTATACTTAATTCACTGAAATCTTCAGTTCAAAAGTATGTACAAGTTATTACTTACCTTTACTGATGACTCCTGTTGGAGTCATCACTCTTGGACGGTGAGGAGGGGAGGGAGGAAGAGAGGTGTTACTGTTTGGAAGGGGAGTCCCCTTCCATTATAACTTCAGGCAGTGAGGACTTCTCTGGGGTACACTCTCTGACACGTTTTGCCTGCATACCACTAGGACCTGCTTGTGGTTCACTGCTTGATTTTCTCACTAAAAATTGTTCCATTGAAGATTGTTTTTCCCATCTTTGTAACTCTTGTCTGTAGTGAGACATCACATTGTCATTAATAAGATCAATGCAACGACCTGCTAAAGCTTTATCTGGGTGATTCTTTTCAGCAAAACTTTGCAGTTCTTTCCATACTGCACACATTTTCTTAATTAATGAGGTAGGGACATCCTCTACTGCCTCCTCCTTCCCTGAAGATTTGTTGTACTGCCTAGTTTAACAACACGTGTACCATTTTCATGTTTACGAATGATCTCTTGTTTTTCCTCTACGGTCATTCTCACGTGTGTTTTCTTGCCTTAAACTTTTCCACTGGCTTTCTTGGGACCCATGGCAAGATATATAATAAAAAAATTATGTTCAAATAGGCAAAAATCTGAAAAAACTATAAATCCTTGCAAAGAATTCAGGCACGATAGTCACTAGGCGGGAGGCACTGGTAAATTGAGGCGAGATCTCCGTGCCACCACACGCTAGGTCGGCCATACATATACTGTATCAACAAACTCATTTCCCGAGGTAAAGTTCGTAACCCGATTCAAATTTTACAAAGAAATCGGGCTCGTAACCTGAAAAGTTTGTAAAGAGGGGCATTTGTAAGCCGAGGTACCACTGTACATAACTAATCTGTGACGGAACAATATATTTTTCTATATTTCTTGAAAGCATTACAATAATAAATAGCTAGAATAATCAAAATATTATATAAAAATATTGTACATAGTATAAAATGTTGCTGCAAAAATGCAGAAAGTTGAGATAACTACATATCAATCACCTAGAGAATATCTTACAAGTTGTCGGTGCTGTAGCTGGATGACAGGGACAACCTCTCGGTAGCGAGCCCACTGGTTGGGACAGACAATCTCTCGGCTACCAACCCACTGGGCGGCACAGATAACCTCTCGGCCACCAGCCCACTAGATGGGAGAGACAACCTCTCGGGCGCCAGCCCGGTTGATTGTATGATCATTCTGTCTTGGGAGTGGATGTCCGTGTGGCCCTCAACACGCATCACCTGTAATGTGCTCTTTGATGCTCTCCTTCTTGATACAGTACTGTACTAAAACTATCAACCTAAAATGCAAAAAACCAGCGTCGAATGTAGTGAAACACCATTTTCTGGGCGAGACTTGGAGGTTACCCGGAGGTTTCCCGGAGCTATACTGGGCTGATATGTATATATTAGACCATGGCAACAGTCAATCAATGGCATTTTAGCCTACTGGGAACATGAGCCAGAGAGGCACGAGGAGCAATGGCTTATAGACACCCCCATGTAGTTGAAAGCACTCTATGTCTAACATCTATTAGGACAGGCACCCAGAAAGGTAGGAATCCTAAAACAAACTACAGCTGATTAAAAATTCCAAACTGAAAGCCAAACGAGCAAGCAGAACTCCCGAATCAAAAAGCAAGCAAACAAGCATGATGTCACCACAGCCGCTGTGCCGCTATCTACGCAGCTTCCCCCTCCCCGGGAGAGGGAATCGGGGGGCCCAAACCTCCTGTGCTGGCTACCCAACCCCAGTTCAGAGGCTGAATATCAAAACCAAGAAAAACCACCATCCTGAGGGAGGGAGGGAGGGAGGGAGGGAGGGATGCCGGGGAGCCTCCGGGTCTCACCCAAAAAATTGCTTTTCATTACATACAACGCTGGTGTTCTGTGAAGAGCCCCCTCGGCTTCCCGGAGCTACCTAACCAAAGATAAAGGAAAAGAGGGACTTACCTGGGAGGCTTCCGCCACTTGTCTCGAAGTTGAGACAACTGGCTGAAACCTGCGACCTCATGGCTACACACGCTCGAGAAGAGCCAGGAACATTAATGAGGTACTGTGTGGCTAGGACCCTGTTCGACCTCCAAGCACCCGGTGCCTGAATATCAGCCCAGGACATATTACCAAAAACAGCACCCAAAGCCATGAATTTACGGACATCGTGGGTGCACAGGGGATAGATCTCAGGCTAGCTGGACCAAATAATCCTGCGGACAACCTGGGAGACCTGCACCCTGAAACAGAGAAGGGAAACCGGGTCAACCCAAAGCGCGTCCCCTGCCAAGGAGGTTGTGGAAAACAAGTAACGGCGAACAGCCGCAACCAGACACAAAACATGATGCACCCCCGGCAAAACCAAGCATCAACAACCCAAGGACCTCTCCGGAAAGCAACAGTCTCGTTCTTCACCAGAAAAGAAGATTGGTTGAGGTTTTTGGCAACTTTGGCTGCAAACAAACAAACCAACAACCATAATCGAGAAACACCTGCGCCGGAGGAGAGCATGAAGCTCCCCGACCCGAACCTCAGTGGCCAATGCCAACAAGAAAAAGAGCCTTAGGAAAACAATTCCTGAACCGAAGGGGCCACTGCAAACCGAGAAGAGAGAAAAAGAGAGCACCTGGTCCAACGACCAGGACGGCTCAGGAGGCGCAAGAGCAGGCCGGAGGTGAAACAACGCTTGAGAAAGCTTGTGGAATGGAGCAGAAGTGACATCCACCCCGAATGCACGCTGAAGCGGTTTCACCAGCGCCGCACGATATGAGGCGACAGTATTTGGCATAAGATGACGGCCCTGAAAGAACCAAGAGAAAAAGGACAAAACAACCCAATCAGAAATTGAAGACAACTAACGAATAGGCAAAAAATGCCGAAAGGATCACAAGAAAATGTCATACTGTCATCAAAACAAAACGAGCATGTAGGACATCATCAACGAAGCCACCTAATCACCATACAAGTGGTGATAAACCCACGTCAAAAAGACAAGATGAGAAGATCGGAGGAGAAGATCGAACCAGCCACGTACCAGACCGGACCGATCTGCAGAAAAAGGCGAAGTCGCAGGAAGACCCTCGGGTTCAGACACCAAGTAAGCAGCACCTGAAACCAAGGCAGAGCCGGCCACCAAGGGGCCAACAAGACCAACTCTTCCTTGGTAAGTCTCCAAGCAAGCCAGGACTTAGAGCAACAACCGAACCGTGGGGGAGAGGTACAGGTAACCCCACCTTGACCAGTTCAGCCAAAAGCATCGACCCCGACACCCTCACAGTTGGGGAAGGGTGCCACATACACCGGAAGACGCCTCGACCAGGCTTACACGAAGAGGTCCACCTCTGGGTGCCTGAACGTCCGGCAGAGCCATCAGAACGAGCCAGCGTCAACCATCCATTCCGTGGACAGGAGAGTGAACCAGGACAGGCCGTCCTCCTGGACATTGGACACCCCTTGGATATGAACCGCCAGAAAAGCCAAACCCCAAGAACTCAGTAGACAAGTCACCCAAAGCGAACAGCTCCAAAGAGCCAAGGACTGCATTAAACCCCCACAGCTCAGACAATGAATCTCTGAGGATTGTCTGAATGAAGCAAGATCGTCGATCCACGAGCGACGCGAACGCTCTGAAGCAAATGCCACACCACCATGAACTCCTGCACTGTGCTGTGAGCCTGACAGAAGGACGGACCCTACCGACTCTGGCCGGTCAGGTGAGCACTGGTCACAAAGCCCCAGCCGAGAGACGATGCATCTGGGAATATATCAAGCGAGGGCTCGGGTAGGCGCCAAGGCATTGAACACCAAAAAAAAACGAAGAGGAAGCCAGCGGCGAAGCAGCCAATGTAAGGCTCCCGGGGTTCGAACCCAGCGATCACAAGAGCAGCGAAGGAACATCCCGAAGAAACCAGAACAATCCCCAAAGCCAGATCCGACCCGACGGGTAGATCAGCATGGTGAAGTTCAGACTTCCGCACAACTGCTCTTACAACCAATGAGTGACCCGGGTGTCCCCCAAAAACAACGGAAGGCAGGACTGCAGTCGCAGCAATGCAACAAGGAGAGAAAAGGAGGCGGTCCAAGAGTACCACACAAGATCCAGCCAAGTCCAAACCTGAGAGAGAACCAGATGGGACTTTCTCCAGTTCACCAAGAACCCAAACCTGGCAAGATATGGGAAAGAACCAAATTCCTGGCGAGCAGACATGCTGGACCAGCTGGAAGCCCAGACCAGCCAGTAAGCGAGGTAAGCCAGAACCCAAACCCGAACCCCTAACAGATGCAAACGGGTCACCACGACCTGGGTAAGGCGTGCAAAAAACGCGAGGCACCAGATTCAACCCGAATGGAAGGCATCGAAAGCGGTAAGCTTGCCGCCCAACGATAAAACCGAGCCAGTCCTGAACCCCGGATTAATTAGGACATGCAAATACGCTTCCTGGAGGTCCAGGAACACCACCCAAACGCCCGGCTCCAAAAGCAGCTAGACCTAGGACCGAGTCGTCATCCGAAATGAAGGGTAAAAGATCCAGGGGTTCAAACAGTCCAGAATGAACCTCGGATGTGCACAGTCCCGTTTCAAAATTGGAAACAGGCAGGAAACCCACCTGAGGGACGCCGTTGTTTTGACTACTCCCAAGTGTATCCACTCCAGGATAACCCAACAGAGTGCATGGAAAGAGGCCCTGTCAGCCCCGAACCTCCCGAAGGAGGAGGAGGAGGAAGAGGAGGAGGAAGAGGAGGAGGAAGAGGAGGAGGAAGAGGAGGAGGAAGAGGAGGAGGAGGAGGAAGAGGAGGAGGAGGAGGAAGAGGAGGAGGAGGAGGAGGAGCCACCCAACGCCACCTCAGGCCGGAGGAAACAACCCAAAATGCCCAAGAACTGTGGGACTAGTTGAGAGCAACCAGCGCGAGCCTCCCCCTTCTCCCATTGTCCCGTTAACAGGGTGAACCGCAACGAGGCCGACGACCCTTACGAGAGCCCGACCAGACGCTGACAGCTCTGCAGGAGGGGCCGGCCCTGAAACTGGCACTACTGGCTTACAACGACTGAAGGAACCCCGAGCCCTGGCATGACCCTTCCAGGCAGAACCTCCACAGCCTCCCCGGAGAACCAACAAGTCTGACATATGTCGGCAACTAGACGAAGCTGCCTGCAGAAAATGCCCAGTCATTCAGGACAGTCATTTGATGCCTAATACTATCACCTCTTATCACACGGCATTGGCGGAGCCGCTACAGCTTGCGTTCAGGGTGGATGTTACTTCTGCCCCATTCCGTATGCTATCCGTGCTTTGTTTCACCTTCGGCCAGTTCATGCACCGCCTGAGCCATCCTAGTCCTTGGACAGGATACTCTCCTATCTTTCTTCTTCTTGGTTCATGGTGGCCCCTTCAGTTCAAGATTGTTTTTCCAAGGCTCTGTTTCTGTTGGCATTGGCTTCTGAGGTTTGGGTCAGTGAGCTTCATGCTCTCTTCCGGCGCAGGGTTTTCTGCTCCTACGATCCTGGTAATCGGTTTGTTCGGGTGCAGCCTTCTCCTTTTCTGGTGAAGTATGAGATGGCGGGCTTCCGGAGGGGTCCTTGGGTTATTGATGCTTGGTTGTTCAGGCCAGGGGTGTACCTTGTCTTATGTCCAGTTGCGACTCTTCGCCGTTACCTGCGCACTTTGACTTCTGTTGCCGGGATGCGCTTTGGGTTGATCTGGATTCCCTCGTTCCCTATTCCAGGGCTCGGGTCTCCCAGGTTGTCCACAGGGTTATTAAATCTAGCCAGCCTGTGGTCTATCCTTGTACCCATAACGTTAGGAAGTTTGCTGCATTGGCTGCTGTGTTTGACAACATGTCTTAGGCTGATATTCAGGCGCGGGGATTTTGGAGGGCGAACAGGGTCCTGGCTGCCTGATATTTGGTTAATGTTCCTGGGCCTGGGGATTCTTGTGTTGCTTTGGGTCGCAGGTTGCAGCCAGTTGTCTCAACTTTGCATTGAGGAGTGAGTGGCGGTCGCCTCCCGGGTAAGTTGCTCTTTGTGTGTCTTTGGTTATGTAGCTCCAGGGAGCCGAAGGGGCTCCCCACAGAAAACCAACATTGAATGTAATGAAATGCCATTTTCTGGGTGAGCCCCAGAAGCTCCCTGGCAACCCTGCCTCTCTGTTCGGTTTTTGGTTGCACTTTTCTTACCAAGTGGGGTTTGTTTTTGTTTTGTTATGCCTCCCTTTCTGGGTGCCTAACCTTGGTCGATGGCAGATAAGAAA